CTATTGCACCTAATGTGGCAGTGGACTTTGAATTACTATGTTCTAAATTTCTTTTTAGTTAGGAAAGTAACTTTTGTTGTTGGCATGGTGTATTTTGAGTAGGCTGAAGCTTTTGTTGGAAGTGCATCTTTTGTATAGTTTATTAGAAATGCTAAGGTGATGTTTTTTGGATGCTTGCATTGTTTTTGGTTCCCAACAATATAGTGGATGTAAATATGTTGACATTGGGAATTATTATCAATGCTTAGGTGATGTAAATATGTAACACAAGTCATGTGGCTTTTGATATGGCACTCCAAATGATTTGAACAAATTAACATTGGGCAAAACAAAAGGGTTATATGGGAATTATAATTGTGTATTAGATGAAATCATGTTTTTTTAACGGATCTTTAACAGAGACTGACGACAGGGGTTCTTTGTTACAAGTGCACAAAATTAAGGGGTGTAGATGTAATATTTCAAATATAAGGGGATCTAAGTGATTAAGTGACAAATCTGAGGGAGTCTAGATGTAATTTATCCAACTTAAATAAAAAATTGGAAAAAGGTAAACTGTGTTGGATTTAAATTTCATAAATTAATTAAAGTCTACAAATTTATGGCTACCTCACTACCTAAAGCCCATATAAGAGTAATAAGAACTCTTATATGGATAAATACTCCTAGCACTATAAATAGAGGTCTAAGTGAGGAGAAGGAAAAGAAGCCAAGGAGTGAGGAAGATCACCGAAGCTCTGCTTAAAGTTCACTAAAGCCTTGCAAATTCATCTCCGGGAAGAAGAACACACTGCCAAGGTCCTTCTTCAAGAAATCCAAATCATCATCAAGCCATTTCAAACGAAGAACGATGAGGAGATTCATCAAAAGCATCATCAAATTGAAGAGCGGGAGATGCATTGATCCAACTTTCATTTTCATCAAAGTCACCAATTGAAGAGCGAGAAATACGCCAATCAGGTCCTCATCTTCACCAAATTCATCATTTTCATCAAATTCACCGAGAATTAGAAGATAGTGCACATGAGAAGCACGCCAAAGAGAGTCAACATTACTTTTTTACTTAAAGTCAATTAAATTGACTATTGTAATTTGACCTTATTTTGTGTTAATTTACACCACAAAATTTGTCGTTACAGATACAATCACTCATTTTCCTATGTCAATCTGAGCAACACACGGGGGGATATGGTTTTACAAGAATTTAAAACAAGATCACAATTGATATAAAGGGCACAAAGTTTTCGACTTTGACAATACATGGTGTACCTTTGACGCATGATCCAATTCCATGAGCTTGTCATACGGCGTCTATCAACTGTTCTGTATTTACAAAGCCAATCTCTTGTATCAAAAGTATTCTGGACCAAAAAAAAAGGTGAAAGAGAAACACACCTTTGTCAAAAACAAAAGATAAAAATGAAGGTCAGTCAGTCCCCAGTATACTTCATCTTAGTCGAGTGCTGGCAGATGTGAACTGGGTGTAGAGAAAAATCCCCATGCATATTCAGCAGCCGCTCCCGGTTGCTACAGATTGGTTGAAAGAGCATAACCATCTTCTGCCCTCGGTCTGAGAAGTTGAACGTCTAAAACCAGATCTGAGCACCTAGCCAAGTAGTTCCGCAAGCTCAGATCAGCATTTCTGGGAACCAAGGAAGGTGTAGTTTCTGGAGCTTTCATGCAAAGACTAGTGCTGAATTTCATTGATGGGAATCTTTGGCAGCTCAGGGAGCGGAAAGAAGACCCAAGAGGGGGAGATTCTGGCACAATGGAAATCAGGCTTGCAAAATGGGGTTTCTAGGGAAGCGGTTTCTGGCCCTTCGGCTGAACAAGTGCAAAATGATAGGGATAAAACTTGTTCTTGCAACCTCCTTAACTATTGGCTTTGTGCTCTCAAGCTTGACAAATGAAACAATCCCGTGCCGGCAGAGGGGGCAGCCAATTGAGCCAGGAGGACCATGAGCTACAGTTGAGGTGCTGTTTGTGGAACATAGGTATAAGGCACACTGCGTACAGAACTCGTGAAAACAACCTGCAAAAAATGTGGCATCTTAAGTCACTCTAGGTCGGTGAATGATGGATTTGCAAATGGCTACACCGGTCCATAATGCAAAAGAAACATGAATGCACACCAAATGGTGAGGAAAAAACATTGAAGTTTGGCAATGTTATAATATTTGAGACTTCAGGCTTCAGTATCGTCATTAAAAATTAAGTATATGAGCATTATTTGATGCTACATGTGACAGAATATAAAATTTGAAAACCGAAAAGGGGAGGTTCAGGACAAGGATACAAAATTTGACAACCTAACATACGTTAATTTCTCAAGAATTAATTTTACAATGTATTCAGTACCAACACTGCTGATGCACTAACAAAACTGCTAATACCACCAGCAACATTGCTATGATGATGAACCAATTATTGCTATGCAACCCATTACTCCTCTACTCCCTTATTGATCTACACTGCACTGTATTGCAATTCTACTGGTGCCGTCCAATAGGGAGCCCCCTCTGTAGTTCAACTAAATCCATCAATAATTTCTACATTTATCTTTATTGGAAAGAAGAAAAGGCATCAACGAAAGTTTCACACACGCACACGCACATAATATGTTCTAATCTTCCTGATAACCAAACAACGTAGAATTGGCAAAGATCCAAAACAATTGCCAACTTCATTTGCACTAAAAAGAATTCAGAGCATCAATTTTATTGCTCTTCCTTCCAAAATAAAATAACTTGGCTGTGTTTTCCTACAAGCTACTGGGAGACAGAAATAAGAATCTTTCTGCTGACAGTTTGCAATCTTTAAAGGGAATGTACCTTCTGCAGCTACTGTGCACTTTCTTTCCAAAACAAACAACACATGGGTCCACACATGTAGGGAGGCATTCTCTGCTTCTCCATCCACATTCTCTGCACATGACCAAAAAATGGAGATTTCAGTACGATCGTTACTCGTCCTTCCAGACAATAAACTTGGCAGTTACTTGCATTAGCTACCAAAAAAATATTTTTAAAAAGATGCTTCTGCGTAGGAAAACAGTTTTGATGAAAATTACAGCAGTCACATACTTCAGCATTAGGACACCATTCATTAGCCTCATCAACATAGCTATTTTAATCTAAATCCACACCGCAGTAACATAAGCATAAGGACACCGGCAATCACCCATAATATGTTTGAAAACATAGCACATTTTACCAATAGCTCATGACTACACTTATCAAATATTATTCCTGCAAGTAAATACATTAATTACATATACTTGTTGAGTAAACAGGAGTAGCTTCTCATACTCGTTGAATAATGAATGGTGTCGGATACATTTGCTGAATTCCCATAGGGATAACAGTTTGGTTCTGAAAATCTCAGAATTAAGAAATGAATTTAATACATACAATTTAGCAGTATTTTTAGACAGTGGAATCTTCTAGGCCAATGGACTTATCAGAGAATTTTTTGGCTCTGAATGACAGATCTATTGTAGAACTTCAATAAATATTTCAAAAAGACAATAGTTAAAGCTGGTGAAGTCTTTCTGCCTAATTTACCACACTAAGTTTATAACTCTCTAATTGATGGACTTCAAGAGAAGAACATAACCAATGGTACTCCTTACCTTGTGAAGGCTTTGCCTTCTTGAAGTCAAGAGTTCAAGCCCCCTTCCCTCCCGCTCTCCCCAAAAAAAAAAAAAAAAGAGAAGAACATAAGCTTACAACCCCCAAAATGATGAAACTTAAAGAGAAAAGTAAACGCAACAATTTATCGTGTCTTACGCAAGACGAGTGAATGACTACGTAGTTGGTTTTCATGGTTCTCTTCACACTTACACAAGTTACCATCATCAACACTACAGCTTTTTGTACCTATTGACCCTCCCAAGAATCAAACAATTGAGCTTAAGGTCATAGGGTAAGGAATCAGGTGTCTATGGCTGTTTGGCAAGAATCAATACCTCAGTGATTACCACCTAAAACGTAAAGACCAAGGGCAAACAGCAGCAACAATTTCTAGTACCAACAAAATGCAACTACAAAAGATCACCACAAGAAGAAGAAAACAAGGTATATCTTCCATTAATCCATTAATTTTTTCAACCTCTCCAATTCATTGCTTTCGTGTATAATTGTAAGCCAGAAAATGCATTTTTGGTATGATTAGTTGGACTTCAAGTAAATTCTGATGCAAGAAATCATAATAGTCTCTGTGAGTTTTCATTTTCCCTCGACAACATTGCACAGTCATTGAGTAATTTGACAAACAGAGAAGACACTGACACTCCTAAAGATAAACAAAAGCATAAGCTGAGCCTCAGAAAGTACTCAAATCCATTTGAATCAGAAAGCAGCTGACAGAAAAAAACAGTTACAGGCGTGCAAGATGAAAATCTTAAACATAGAGTACAGCAAATACTGATGCAGCAATAGCAAAAAAAAAAAAAAACAACGCTGATGCAGTTTTGTACACTTTGATCATAGAGGGAAAATATGTTCACCTAGCAACGTTTACAATGCTCATAAGAGGAAGACATAAATATGATGAAGGAAGAACTCGTTGTTGGCACCGTTGCCGTCTGCTAAGAATTTCCTCAAGCCAATCTCTACGCCATGAACGAGCAACCATCAAGGGAGTCCACCTTGAACATACAAAACAAGGATATGCTAGACAATCATTAATGGATCAACTGAAAATTACAAAAAGGAAAGATGATACAACATAATAGAAGTGTGCTTTATCTGAATGCCCTCCACAAAGAAGAATCTCAACAGGGGGACTTGGATGGCAGTTTAATGTCCAGTTGATAAGAAAATGATGGACTATATAATTAATAAGGAAAACCCACAACATATGGGTCCCAAAGGAAGACATATATACACATACACATGCCCATGCATATCTGACCTGCTAAGTCTTTTGACCTAATAGAATACCTCCCATTTGTAAGACTCAGTCTGACATGACAAATGCTTGTTTGTACTTGTGTAGTAATAGGACATACAACAAAGAGTAACTTGGATATAAAACATCAATGCTCTGACAATTGAATTTAGACAATTGTCGATGCATGAGAAGATTCAGAGAGTGGCTACGTTCCAGGAAGCAGGTTACAAACATGCGCAACTCTGCAAAAAAAATGCCGAGGCCCTAAACATATAGCCACAAAACAGTTTCTACAGACTATATGCTTACCTTATGGTAGGGGCATCAGAGTTTTGAACAATGGTAATAAATATGATCACTGTGTAGTTCCCACAAGATCGCAGATTGCTCCAGGTATAAAGGGAGTTCACATTAACAAAAACATCTTTAGGCATAAAACAAAATATTTACAAGTAAGAAAAAAATTCTTACGACTGATCAAAGAAAATTTTTGTGAGTTCACCAGTATCAGCCAACTCCATAGACGGGGATTTACTTTGTGAAATCTACTAATATCTACTCCTTTAAAAAAAAAAATTCTTTCTTCTCTTTTGGGCGAGAATGTTGAAGAGGAAATTTTGTTTCTTTCCGCACATATCACAGTCCATCCACATATGCAAAAGTAATATTACTATGAACAGTTTTCTACATTATTCCCCGAATTATAGCATTAATATTATGCAGGAAAGTTGGATGTAATTGATCCGATAATGCAGGTTCGAGTTCTGCCCGTGACTGAATTCCACTGCTTTAGATTCAGTCAAGTTGTGGGGCTAAGACTGTTTGCATTGGAAATCAAGAAATTCCTCTACCCTCGCTATCAACTTAAACCCCCTCTACTCCAGGTCTCAGATCCCCATTTGACTATTAAGCAGCAAGCCAGGAACACTGGTACTCAATAGATAGGTGATCTAACTGATGCCCAATAATACGTAAAGTATACAAAGAGTGCATGGAAAACCACAAACTATTCAGCAAAAAAGAATTATTTTCAAACAAAGAATAATTTCTTTGTTACTTTGGATTTGAAGTTAACTTGATATACAAATATAAAATAGTGAAGCAACAAGAGCAAAATATGACCAAGGATTAAGGAAAAGTCTGGATGAAATAGCTCATCAAAGTAACATGAGTGACAAATGACTTGCATACCCATTTGAATTTTCGGCAGTAAGACTGGCACCCCTGGCAATCAAAATCTGAGAATATGGAAATCAATGAAACTTCAGCACACTCCCAACACCACAAACAAATTCAGATCATTAAAAGGAAACATACCTGACAACACTGCGCATTTCCACCACATGCGGCATAATGAAGGGGTGTGCTTCCTGCCCCTGCAAAGTGACAAAGACACCTCTACATAATAAAATAACAGATGATATAAAATAACCAATCTTCATTCTTTGGACCACAGTTTACATAGAATAGGCATACTCCATCAAGAATTTTGAAAAATACTTATTAGTTAATTTAAAGAAAAATCTCTATTTTTTTTTTGGTTTTTTTACTGTTCACAGCCAAAACAAAAATCAAAGCCACAGATTGTGAATAAACTAAAAATACTTTTAATCTTCTTTTTTTTTTTTTGAGAATGTTTAGCTGCAAGGCAAAAGCCATATGCTTTGAATAATTTATCTGGCACCAAGAATATGAAAAGCATGCGTCAACAACACTGTCCTTTATTTTGGCAATAACAGTTGTAATGACAGAAATTGGGGAAGTTATTTGCCATGGAATGGGAAAAAGCCGTTGTCCTAAGTTGGTCCTGCACATGAGGTGCTAGCAGGAGTGACTGGTAGAACAACTTAACCTTCATCATTAATGCACAACTTACTTGTCCTTAGACTTGAACTCCTTGCTTTTAGCAATGAAATTAGAAATCAAGTAGCATATTAAATTTATCCTATTCTCTTCTGTTGAATTGAGCAAAAAATGTCAAGGAAGCACTAACAGGAGAATATAAAAAACAAAAACTGCATGAAGTGCTTGATTTTCTGATGAAAAGATAAGTGTAATAAACAGGTGACTGTGCATGTTGGAGGCCTATAAACTTTACACTATAAAAGGACTCACGAAGAACTAAACTGAAATGTACATACGAACAAGAAATGGATGGCAAGATCAGTCTGCAGTTCAAAAGCTTCCAATCTTGATAAACAGAACAAGAAGGTAGAAAAGAAACTAAGCAAGCTGTTCTTATCTAATCGTACAATGGGGTGTACAGACGATAATAATATCAAATAAGTATCTCATGTGCAACAAGATCCATGAAACTTCCAATGACAGAAGCCAAAACCACAAGGTCTGAAAGCCAATGGATCATCATTATATGCCAATTGGGGGGGAGAGAGTGCATGACCTCCTAATAAATTATGCAAAAAATAAACGCCTTTTACTACGAGCAGCACAGGAGCCCTGGGTTGCTTTGGAAAGTTCAGACACTTTAATATTGAACATAATAAATACAAATATATCTTTAAGCAAGGCAGCTCCTTGTGTTTAATTATACATTCTCAAACCTGAGAGCAATAGTTGATACAAAAAAGTTATGGATGCCATATAAATATCTAGAGTGGCTGTCATGCATACGAGGACAGTTGCAGCTAAGGTGTTCCAGACCAACAACTTCGCGTCTGCCTTTGCATTTGGTTAGGTAAGCATTCAAACACAAACATGGCATATACATATATATGTTGACAGCTTGCAATCTATAGTATAAGGAACATGCGAAACAAAAAAAATAGTAGCAACAATCAGGAGGAATGAGTGATAAATTTTTTTAGAAGCTGAACAAGTTTGTAATATGATAATAACCAACATCACAAAGAAAAAACCATTAGAGCAGAATGCTATTGTTGGTTATTTAGCAGCAGGAATTCAAGAAAAGGACTAAATGAGCTACCTATTAAATCAATTGTAGTCCCATCTTCCACAGTGACCTCGGCAGCAGAAGCCCCCAAGTCCAGAAGTAATTGCACACTTTCGACATGCCCATTCAGTGCAGCCATATGGAGGGCAGTGATGCCCCCATCGGCAGGTCTGTTTATGACCTCATAGAGTGCACTGGTGCAAACAAAATCATATGAAAAGCAAATTAGCATACTTTTTTTTGGAAGCTGGAAAGACATTTATAACAATTTACAAGCAGAATTTCACATGAGGTTACCCTTCATCAAATTCTAAAATAGAATCTTCATTTCTTGATCTTTTCCTTAGGATACTGCAAAAATTAGGAATGCTAGGAATGTAGTCAGCAAGGGTTAGCCGCATGCATCGAGAATGACCATTCAGAGCAGCCAAGTGGAGTGCAGTACCCCCATTGAGATAATCTGCTCTGTGGATCTGAATCCAATATCATGTCTTTTAAACCATTCAATGCACAGAAATGCAGCAATTATACAAAAGCATTATAAATACTCATACATTGGCTCTGAATAAAACCAGAGTCTGAACAACCTCCCAGTGACCATATTGACAAGCTTGCATCAAAGCAGTCTGTTCATGAAGAAACATAAACCATTTTTTAAGTTCTTTGATATAATGTTTTACTTATAAAGCAAGGTTTCAAACCAATTGATATTAATACAAATTATTACTAGTTTGGAATGACAATGAGAGACAGATGAGAAAGAACTACAACTTTCAATCACATAATTAGTTCTACCTGTCCCCGATAATTCCGGAGATTGATATCTACCCCCGATTCGAGCAAGAGAGAGACAATCTGAAGACAAGAAACACACAGCCATTGTCATCATACGAGGGTTGCAATACCTGTAAATTCACATTATCATATCCAAAACAAGAAAAAACAACATGAAAGTTCAGGGAAAAAGTTGTCACTCAGTCTTTCTCGAGATATACTTGCAAGATTAAACTCAATTCTGAGATACCTCATGGTGGCCTTGAGCTGCAGAATAATGGAGGGGCGAATTGCGAACACCAAAAGTAGAATACCTTGCAAGGCGAGGATTATACTCCAATAAAGCCTTGGCTTCTTGGAGATCCCCATCTCTTGCAGCCGAAACCAAGCGCTCCCCAGATGCGGAGCACCCAAAGGAATTTCCAACAAGACTTAAGAACCTCATGGTCCTCAAATATCATCACCAAAAGAAATGAAAGAAAAAGAAAAAAAAAACTAAAAAAACAGATAAGGACTTAATCTAGCTCCACATATAGACGTAAGGAATCTATCCAAAGAGCTTTATTCCCCAATCCTCAAATCATTGAAAATCACATGAGAAATTGGAAGGAAGAAAAAGAAATTCTTCTATCTGCTAAAAATTCCTTGTTTTCCACCAAACTTGTAACCACCATCCTTCTTACTTTCACATACAGAGAGAAACAAATTTGTTGCAAACTTGTAACCACCATCCTTCTTACTTTCACATACAGAGAGAAACAAATTTGTTGTAACTGATGTAAATTATCATAAAGAAAGGTTGAAACTCATCTTAACGGCATAAATCCAGTTCCAAGTTGATCATATTCAATGCAATCTGATCGGATTATTGCAATAAGTTCAAGAAACCCAACTACAGAATTAGGAAATCCAATTCCTTTTCCACAACTTGCTTGTTTGTCATATCAAACTACCCAGAAACCCACTTGCAATTTTCCCTCAAAACTCAAAAGCTTCAATAACCACTCCTTAATTTTCTCTCAGAAGTCAGATTCTCCAATCCCAGCTCCCAAATTTCCCGAGAAACACAAAACCTCTCATACCCACGTCCAAACTTAAAAGCTAACTAATTTCTTTTACAAAAAAATTCAGATTCTTGAATAAATGATCAACATTCACCTCATGACTTCCCTCAAAATTTAATGCCTCCAATACCCGCTTCCTAATATGCTCTCAAAAGCCTGATTCTCCAATAGCCACCCCCTAATTTTCCCGGAAAATTCAAAACCTCCAACACACATTTCAATGTTCTCTCTGAAAATCCAAAATCCCCATTACCCAACTCCGAACTTCCCGGGAAAATAAAAATTCCAATTACCCGAATCACATGTCGACAAACCAATTCAAAGTTCCACCCCAGAAACTCAAAATATTCAATACCCAGAAAGAACTGGGAATTTTCAGCCCAGTGAGATCAAGACCAAAAGAAGACTATGAACCATCAGAGCTGTCAAAGGATGTTGAATTAAATGTCTAAATGAGTTGTTAATGCTAAAATGTCGGTAAACAAACTCTGATATGCCTTAAAAATAATGGGTAAAAGTATAGGAGTGTTATTAGGGACACCGCCTTTTACAGGGAACCTTAAACCAACAAGCCTGCAGGGAAAGCGTGCATTTCATGATTGGATGTTATTCTCTAGTCAATTTTGGTTGTTGGTTTGTTCCCTCCTCCCTCCTCCCCCCGGCCCCCTCTCTCTCTCTCTCTCTCTCTCCATGTACTCTCCTTTGACTACGGTTTACTTTAAGAATGTGCAGGGAACAGAGTGGTTTATATACCCCGTAATTTTGTGTTTATCCATTCTGATTTTTATTTTTAGAAGGAGTTCTGTTACTTTTTGTTGGTGAGACATTATTAGAGGAAAGGATGGGAGGACGAGGGGATTCCAACCATTGATCTTGAGGTTCTAAGAACGGTTAACATTAAGACAATTTCAGTGTAAATAAATGATGTTGATAGATTTTCCCCACCTGAACTAGCTAGCTAACTCCCATAGTTCAAATACAGTGAAGTTAGAATTAGGGTTAATTGCAAATTCTAAGTCAAAATATTTCAATAATTTTAATTTGTATTTTCAAAAGATAAAAAATTTTAATTTATATTCTCAAACATATTATTTTGTATTAATATTCACTCAAACTAACGGCCGTCATTTTGTCATCTAAAATTAAATAAATAAATTATGTCTAGACCCCCTCATTTTTAAAATATTACACCTACATCTCTAAAGAATCCAAATATAACTAAAAGTGTTCCCCTAATTGAGCATTCAAATAATTCTCTTTAAATGATGTACCACGTTGGATATAAAGAATATTATATAATATAAGCACTTTTGAATATTATATAATACATGTATTATATTGAACATTCAAAGGGTAAACTTGATTTTAAATATTAGAATACAATGAACCCATAAAATAAAGGATAATATATAAATTATAGTTATTTATTAGGATGATATTATATATTTTTAACGAATATTAATGACAGGTGTTATGTATTACGGACGCACAAATGTTAGAGGGTGTAATTGTAATATTATAAATGTGAGGGGTCTAGTAATTAAATGGCAAATCTGAGGGAGTCTAGGTGTAATTTACTCATTTAGTTTTAAATCGCAAACTGATAGCTATTAATTTCAGGTACACATTAATATAAATTTATATATATGAGGGTGTAAATTGAGATTCAAAAAATCTTTTAGAGTGTAATTTGAGATTAACCCTTTAAAATTATTGTACATAAGTTTTAAACACGATTATTTGTCCGATCTCTATCAATCAATATTTCCTCTTTCAATTACTTGAGTTAATCCAATTAAGAATCTTAAATCTTTAAGGATCACATCTATTTGACTGATGGGAGATATTGACTCTATGGTCGCTTTTCATTAAGCTTCATGCCTTTGAAATCGATCGAACAAGGTCACATGAGTACGCTTTAAACCAATTTGTGGCACGAAATACGATTACATGGAAGTAAAATATTACACAGAAAAAAATATATTTTATATTAAACATTGGAGGACAATGTAGAATCTATTAATCTTATCATCTAAGAGGAAGGTTTGTTAGGGATTAATCCTAAAAAAATTAGGATCGATGAATTTATTTTGAGTCAACCCCATTTTGAAATTATGATTGAACCAAATTGATTCGTTATTTCACTGCAATATCGAAAAATCAATTTCTTAATCCCATTGAAAAAAATTCTCAAAGCATGCCTCAACCCTATAGTTTGTCTTCAATAAAAAAATAATAATACTACAAAGCTTTATGTGTCAACAACCCACTTGGTTAGGTTATGATGATGAGCTAAAAAGATGTATATTCCAGGCAGGCCAAATGCAAGGCCTTTAGAATCTGTACAACTTCTATATATATTACTTTTTATCATAGATATTCGTTTTTTTTAATATCTTTTTTTCCAGATAAAATGGTTCTCCACTAGAATGATTAAAATATTGAAAGTTTATTTTTCCATTAAACCTACTCCAATAAGCAATGCTATAAAATATGGTTGTGGTTGCAAATTGGGTTCGTCACCAAATCATCCTGGACTGTTGAATTGTTTTTCAGAAAATGACCAGAAAGAGAGAGGTGAACAATACATCTAACAATCATAATAAAACATGGCTTATTTATTGTTGTGTGGACTAAGATCAGGGCAATTATTGCAATAGCTGTGAACAACTCTAGCCATTTATTATTTTTTTTTCTAGGGGGTTGGGGGTGGGTTTAATGCTGATAAGTTTATAAACTTTACAGAGCTTTCAAGCAGGGTGAGACATGGGTTTCTCAAACGTGCCTTGTTGAAAATCATTTATTGTAGTGTGTATTTTGGTTGTAACGTATGTAAATTGTGTAATATTAAGATTATATCTTGTAAAATTAAATTCGTGCCAATCATTTGATATATAGGACTGATTAATTGATGTGATTATGATACAAGTTACTAAGTCTAAACTCATGTCTAATAGCGTTGAGTCGGAATTGTGAGCCCTATTATTAATCTTATAAATATTTGTCAAGCTCTTACTTCTTTTTATCTGCCCAAATAATTTATGGTGAACTCTCAAGTTTTGTCATGGCTTTAACAATGAGCATTTTTTTTTTGGTACATGATGTTCAAGTTGGAGCCGACTATTCTTTTGAATTTAGCAGCGACTGACCACCGTAATTCAATAGTGAGCATTGTCTCGTCAATTAGTTATATCAACTATGACATTTTTGGCCTGCATGTATGGCTCCATTAGGTAATCAAACATATAAACAAACATAGGTTAGATGGATTTTCCATTTGTCATTACGACTCAACCGAACACAAAACATAGGGCCTACCCAAGGAGGCAGTGGAGGGAATTGCTTAAAACCTTCGACCCTTTTTTCTAAATAAGGGGTGTCTAGGGCACCTCATTTTGTCATTTCGTCGTTGCCTATTTCTGTTAGGTTGAAGTGTTTGACTTTTCTTTTTTTGCGCTTGCTCATGTTTCATTGATCTATTGCATGGTAAAGAAAAAAAAGTATGAAATAATAGTAAACATAGTACTTAATGGTATTTTTATAGGGATTCTATTTATTATTATATAATTCTTATTTAAGATCACCACAGTTCTTTTTTGGGCGGCTGTAAAATGGACGGCCGCCTATAGGTGGTAAGGTTGGGTGGGCGGTAGTATTTAGATGATGGTCAATCTTCCTAATCGTGCGCAAGTCAAGTTTAAAATGCATGAAACTCATCACTTTTTTCCAGGGTTCTTACTGCTAGAAGGCGCAACTCACAACCCTTGTAATGAAGCAAGGAGTTTTTCAACTCATTTAAAGGAGAAGGACAAGAATAGATTCGACAGTAGAAGCAGGGTCATTTGCTAAATTTTTTTCTTTCTTTTTCATCCTAAGGACAAACCATTTATGGTACCGTCAGGGCTATTTGTTTTCATCCCTATTGTTAAATAGCCTACTCAAACACGAGCATAAAGAAAGAAAATGAACACAATATTGCTGCAAAGGAGTCAAAACTCAATGACAAAAAGTTGTTTTGGATTGCTACTTAGGATTAGGAATGACCGAATTTTTCAACATTCCTTTTGTGGCCCTACTGAAGATTCAAAAGGGGAGTCATCTCCTTCAAGATAAGAGGCCACTAGACTAGTACCGAGATAAACGGTGTATCCTTTCCGTGCATCAAAAAACATTAGGGAGAATTACATTCGTATTTTTTGAGATTTATTACTTAATCATTTAAATTTTTTAACATTTGAAATATTACACAAAGATTTTTTGAGGTTTGTACACGTGTAATACTCAGACCCTATCTTTAATGTCCGTTAGTAAATTTATTAGTAAATTATACTTAGACTCCCTAAAATTTATAGGTATATAACACTTAGACTTATCAAGTTAAAAAAATTACACTTAAACCACTTATTAGTTACCGAATTGACGAAATCTATTAAATGATGAAATTATCTCAATAAAAGATAGAAAATATTATATCCATCATAAGTTTGACCCCTTATTTGATTTTTTAGTTTTATTCCAATAGATAATGTAATTGTATACTAATTATAATTTTTTTAAGAAAAAATTAAATTTTTATTTTTGATTTTCTTTCAATAAATGACATAATAAAATATGAATTTTAGTTGTAAAATTTAAAATATATGATATTC